GCGTACGCATGCTATTTTTAATGTTTTTATTTGGAAAACTATATTTCTCTATATACATATATACACACACACACACACACACACACGCACACACACCATCCTAGATAAGCATTTCTACACAAACGTTAAAACACATTTAAAACCCGCGCACCCATCGCAACGGTCGTCCCGCGCATCTGTGCTCCCACACCCACATCCGCAGTCCTTTCCTTAACTCAATCTCTTAGTTCTCACCCGGCTGTTAGGGTTTACACTGTATGCTCATTTCCTGCCTCTGTTGTCACTGTTGCTTTCGCTGCTACTGACACTGCTGTTGTCATCATCGCTGTTTCGAGGTCCGGTTGTGTCGCTGTCGTCTTCATTATCGCTGACTACTCCGCCTCTCAGAGTGTCTTTAAATAGCCTTTGCCAAGAGTCCCTTTGCCAAGTGGAGTTGGCCGCATCTTCTCCATCCTCTCCCACCGCTTTCTGGTAGTAGGACTGGAGTTCAAACAGAAACATTTTGATACAGTCTGTTTCCTCGAGCTCCGTGTGTCCGTACACCGATAGGTTCCTGCATTGCCACAGGGTGCTCCTGATGTAGGACACAAATTGGTCAAAGTCAGCTGTTTCAGACCCTTGTCATCAGCCTGACTCGTGTCACCTCTTCAAGGAGCTGACTTACCTTTTTCCAAACTCCCTTGGCATAGGGACAGAGCCTTAGGAAGTGGTCGATGGTCTCTCTTTCATCTTGGCAGGCTTTCCTGAGGCAGTTGGGTCAAGTCCCTCATCCCTTTCTGCATCTCCATGCTCTCATTGGGAGATCGCAGTAAGCCAGTTCAAGTCTCTGTGGTTCTTTCATAGGTCCTTGTGGAAGATCTGGTTCCAGAAGGCTTGGCAGTCATCTTCAGGGAGCATCTCCATGGTTGATACTATGTCTGTGTCTCTGACTACCTTCTGTATCTTCCTGTGGTTAGTCATAGTCACCGGGCTTTCCTTCTGTAGCCTGTACTCACTCCACAAATCATTCAGGACTCTGCAGAACCAGGGGTATTCCATGCTCCACAGTTTCCAGTTGGTTGGTGTGTACACCCCTCACTGTCTCAGGAGGTGATCTGGAAAAAATGTTACTAGACAGACTGTTTTGGACACTGGCCAAGTCACCAGCTTGCAGATCAGGCTTGTGTACCCTGCCAGCAGGAACAGGTGGATGTCT